GCAATTCCCACACTGTCTCAGGTGTTGTCCCCTGCAGGGCTATGGGTCAGTGAAGGATGTCATGTCTCATAGTGGGGCCAGCCATATGGTCCTCTCTGTGGATGGACTGGCTGCTCTTAGTGGGAACATCTTCCTCAACGCCTGGTGGACCAGGATGTGCTCTACTCTCTCCTCCTCCCCCTTCACCTGCTCCCCTGTGCTCCAATCAGATATGTCCCTCTCCTGGAGCTGCATCCTTTGAAATAAATTCTTCTGGGGGAAGGGACAAGTGTCCACATAGTAGTTGGGATTGAGGCTGGCCCCTCAGAACTCTCCATTGGTTCCCTACTCCACGAAGCCGGAGAATTTTTTATCTCTCTGGTCTGGCTAACATCTTTTATTAGGCCATTTCATCCCCTTCTCTCTACTCATTAAAAAAAAAAAGAAAAAGATTTATATCTCTCTTCTCTCTCAAAATTACCTGACAGAAAGAAGAGAGTTTATGCTGCCACAGCTTCAAATAAAAAATTGAATACTCTTGAAATTAAGACTTGGATTTGACTCCCCACGGTGAAGTAAGAACTCAGTTCAATAGAAATTATTAGCAAGACAGCATTTGTTTTCTAAAATATTTTTGTAATTCCTGTTGCTCTGAAAAATAAGTGACATTCTGGGAGGAAAATGTTGGCTGACTCCCTTTTCTGAAAGCTGGTTCTTAGCATTCTTACCCTACGCTTACCCTTCTCTGGAAATGTGACTTTTAGTCCCTCTTTTTCTGCTTGTCTTAAAACAAAAGACTTATCTTTTTAGGCATCTTTTAGGAAGGTGCCCATGACACATTTGTTTATAGGTGTGACTGTACAAGAAAATATAAAACTAAGTCAGAAACTCTTGTAATATTTTAAATTTTATGCAGTCATTTTAATCATTATTATTGCAAGCTTATTTAATATAAACTGAGAACCGAGTCAAGGTTCCTGTTAATAGGAAATTACTGGATCGATAGAACTGATTTTATGAAATTCTATGCCCAGAAGAATACAATGTATATTTAAGCAAGGTAATAAATCTGAGAAGGACTGGAGAAAACACACACACACACACCCCAGAAAAGACAACTCAACAATATCTACATGTTCCACAAGTATTTTCCAAAGTAGATTGGCAGTCCTTTCTTCTGAGATGTCTTGGGGGTGGGGTGGGGTGGGGGGAAGAGTGCGCTTTAACCATCAAGCCCACCCCCAGGGATTGCAATCACTTGAGATGCTAACTCATTTTCACTCATCAGATATTGGATGCATATCCAATCCATCAACACACAGTAAACTATCGGAAGAAGTTGTAGGGATCATAATAGGACGAGACAAGAAAGGGGCTCACCTTCAAACAGGAGAGTAAGTGTATCTGCAAAGATCACTGCAGCTCGTCGATCACTCATATCTGTCCCCAGCACTAAGAGCAGATTCTCCTCAGCCTTACTGGCCACCTAATCAAAGCAGAAAATCAACACATATTTCTCAGACTAAAGGCCAACCTCATACCACCTTTGAATTTTTCCAAAAAGGCATCCTATTGTCTTCTTTTTGTTTTCCTTAATGCTTGGAAGCCTGGGCAGTATGGGACCACTCCTGGAAGTCTCTGGGTTATCTTGGCCTTAGTCAGGACAAGGAACTTGAGTATGGTGTAAATCGTATTTCACTCAGAGTTATAATTCTTTTTCTTTGAAAATATGTACTGTGAATGGTCAAGGCAGAGGGTCCCCAATTTTAATCATTTCCCAGTGTGACTTGCTCTAGGTAATGGTACTTGATTGAGCAGGGCAAGTACTCTGGGACTATGGATGGGGCATTTTTTTCAATCACTTTATTGGGGGCTCTTACAGCTCTTATTCACAATCCATCCACCCATCCATCCATGGTGTCAAGCACATTTGTACACATGTTGCCGTCATCTTTTTCAAAACATTTTCTTTCTACTTGAGCCCTTGGTATCAGCTCATTCCCACCCCCACGGATGGAACTTTAAACTCATTCAAAGTAAAACCTCAGAAAGCAAAATAGAATGCCCTATACCCCGTAAACATGTTTTCTTGATCACACAAATATTTTCAATCTAAAATGTATCTCATTTCCATTTTAACTACTTTCAGTGTAATACACTTGGTACTTTTAAATTTTGTAAAATTTTGTGATTTTTGTATAATACAGTTGGATGATGGAAAGAATAAAATGAATAATTTTACTTTTATTTTAAGAAGTTGTTTCTGGGTGGCAGAGTACTGACAAAAAAGTATCATAAAGCAGTCACAATTAATTTTAAGGAATTTTTGAAGAAAGGGTAAGAACACACCCATGCAAGGATTCAAAAGGAAAAAGGAGTATTTGGTAAAAAAGTGGTCCTTCCTTTGACTTAGATCTCTCAATTTCTACACCCGCTCTTCAGAAGCAACCACTGTTAACCCTTCCAAAAACACCCAGGGTTTACAAAGCCAGCACATACCTTTATTGGCAGCACCTCTCAGTTTAAACAGAAATGCTAGTACTAGAGTTTGTACCAAGTTTATCTTAACAAAGGACGTCAGTATAGATGTTTTCCTAATAACATGAGTGTTCCAGGACAGACAATCAGGGTGTGGCAGAATACACCCTGGTACACGATTTTAAAACAAACAAGCGTAGGCACATATGTTTGCTGGGATTTAATTCTCTCCAACTAAGGAGAAGGAACGCTGGTAGTGCAATTAAGCACTCAGCTGCTGTACGGTTGGCAGTTCAAGCCCACCCAGAGGCTCTGTAGGAGAAAGACTTGTTGATTTGCTCCCGTAAAGATGACAGCCTGGAAAATCCTATGGAAAGTTCTACTGTGTCATATGGGGTCACAATGAGTTGAAATCATTTGCGACACCTAACACTTCTCCAACAAGGGCGCAGAGGCTCACAGGAAACTTGAACAGCAGGCTCCTCCCCTCTGCCTTCCTACGATTTAATCTTAAATGACCTCATCTGCTTCAACTCAGTGTAGCTTATTGAGACTCAGGCCTGGTTACGAAACCTTGAAACCAAAGTGCTCTTTAGAGAAGCTGAGTTCTGACTGACAATATGCAAAGGAAGATTCAACCTGCAGGGACGTTACATTCTAATTTTCATATACTTCATTTGGTATATGAAAATTAGTGTGAAAGGCCAACCAACCATACTGGATCAAAAGGGCACTATCTGCCACAGGTTAAACTGAGAAGACGGGAAGGGGCAAGAAAGATGAATGGAAACGGGAAACAAGGGGAGGAAGTGGGAAGGGTGCTGCTGTATTAATGTCAGGAAGCAAAACATGTACGAATTGTTGAACAGAGAATACATTTGCTCTGTATACTTCCACTCATATCATAATAAGTTAAATACATAATATGCTTTATGTATTTGAATTGTATGATAAGTGAATTATGGATCAATAAAACTGTTTAAAAAAAGGTCGGCCGGCCGCTACCGACGTTTCCTTAAGCTCTGTGAGGAATGGCCCATGGAAAAGACCAAACGGGGCCGGGACTTGGGCGCTTACCTGCAGCAGCGGGTAGCCCAGGCCTTTCCGGATAGAGAGAACACGCAGATCGCAGAGCCTGAAGCCTGTGATCAGATGTATGAGAGCTTAGCATGGCTCCACTGAAACTACTACAAACACAAGATCCCTGCCTGGGTATGTAACCAGTACCCTCTCCCCAGAGACAAGCTTCAGTGGCCTGTCCTTGGAAGAGTACAAGCTCATCCTGTCTACAGACACCCTGGAAGAGTTTAAAGAAATGAATAAAGACACGTGGAAGAAACTGCAGGAGAAGTTTGCCCCCAAGAGTCCCGAGGAGAAGCACAAGGACTGGGTGAGGTCCTTGTTTCACCCACGTTCCTAAGTATGGGGTCTAGTACCTGTCATAAATAAAACTGCCCTGCCTTAATAATAATAAAAAAAAGATTACTAGAGGAGAGTCAAGATGACATCCAGGTAGAATCACCTGCCCGGTGCTCCTGCTGTTAAACCAGGAAATTAAGAGGTACCGAAGCAAGCTCGAGGAGAAAGCAATGGGACCGAAGGTTCTGGAAGGACTTGGGGGGGTGGAAGAAGGAGGTGGGGTAAGGGAACTGTTAGTAAACAACGCCATAGACAAGGGAACAACTAGGGAATTAAAATGAACAAGGAGGACGTAGAGATCCTGGGGGTGTTGTAGCAACAGCAATCTAGCTGCGAGGAATTACTAAGAGGCGGAAGAAGAGTGAGCATGATGGTGTGGCAGGAGGAAGGTAAAAGGAAACAGGAAATATCCAGGAAGCAAATCTATGGATAGCATTATAAACATAGATGTGTATATATGTAAATGCATTAATTCATAAAAATAGAGGTATTGGCCTATGCACATATATTTATATGGCAATACATGGAGGTAGAGGGCAGACTTTGGGCCTCTGGTTATATCCATCCTCAATGCAAGAACACTTCGTTCTAACAACTTGGCATTCTGTGATGCTCACCTTCCTGGCACAATCGCCTAAGAGCAAATGGGTGCATATGCAAACGTGGTGAAGAAAGCGATGTTGCCCGACCATCAAAAGATATAGCATCTGGGGTCTTAAGGGCTTGAAGGTAAACAAGCAGCCATCTAACTCAGAAGCAACAAGGCCCACATGGAAGAAGCACACCAGCCTGTGTGACCATGAGGTGTCGAAGGGCTCAGGTATTAGGCATCAAGAAACGAAAAAATCATATCATTGTGAATGAGGAGGGAGTGCAGATTGGGGACCCAATGTACATTTGTAGGCAACTGGACATCCCATTACAGAAGGGTCGCGGGGAGGAGACGAGTCAGTTAGGGTGCAGTGTAGCAACGATGAAACATACAACTTTCCTCCAGTTCTTAAACGCTCACCACCATCCCCGCCCATGATCTCAATTCTACCTTACAAATCCGGCTAGACCAGAGGATGTACACTGGTACAGATAGAAACTGGAAACACAGGGAATCCAGGATAGATGATCCCTTCAGGACCAGTGCTGAGAGTGGCGATACAGGGAGGGTGGAGGGCAGGTGAGGTAAAAAGGGAGAACTGATTACAAGGATCTACATATAACCCCCTTCCTGGGGGATGGACACAGAAAAGTGGGTGAAGGGAGACACCGGACAGTGTAAGATATGACAAAATAATAATTTATAAATTATCAAGGGTTCATGAGGGAGGGGGGAGGGGGGAGGGGGAAAATGAGGAGCCGATACCAAGGGCTCAAGTAGAAAGCAAATGTTTTGAGAATGATGAGGTCAACAAATGTACAGATGTGCTTGACACAATGGATGTATGTATGGATTGTGATAAGAGTTGTACGAGTCCCCAATAAAACAATTAAAAAAAGAGAAAGTAAATGTTTAGAAAATGATGGCAACACATGTAAAATATGCTTGATACAATTGATGCACTATACCATTCTCCTGTCATGGAATAAGGGGTCATACCTGCTTGCAAAGGTATTCTGAGAACTTGCTTAATCCCTCCTCATGTAAACCCAGTAGTGGAAAGATTTTGAAGAAGCGCTCCACCTGGGGCAGATCCCCCTCTTTGGTGGCGATGGCAAACTTTTCTGTTACAATGGCTTTGAGACGCTGCTCAGCGTCCTGCAGTAATTTCAGGTTGGCATCAATCATGCTGCCTGCTCAAGGGGAACAAAAAGGAGGATTATAGCCAGGACGAGAACTGACAGGCCCACGCCATCTAGGCTGGAATAAACATGCATTATGCATTGACAATGTGCAAAGATACTGAGCTAGCTGATATCACTGATTGAAAGATGAGTCAACCATGATTCTATTTAGCAGTGAAATCACAGGTAAGCAAAAGAGAGTTTGTACACAAATAACTATAATCAGAAAGGTTACCTAAGATGAGAGTGGTGGGATTTACTTCACTTCAACTAAGATGAAGGAGCCATAGTCATGCAATTAACTGCTTAACTGTTAATTGCAAGGTTGGCAGTTCAAATCAAACTCTCAAAAATGGGCAGAATTTAAAAAAATAATTTTGGCATCTCTGTGGAAAGGACATACTCTTACATTCCCGGCAATAGAGGCAATAAAAGAACAGTAAATGGAAAAATGAAAAGACTATTTGCAGAGTATTGCAAACAGTAGTCTCTGCCCCGGATTATAGAGGAACTTAACAAACATTTGCACAATGAATGAATGACATGGAATGCCTAGAGACAGTCAAAATCACGGAGGTCTCAATATCTGGTTAGAATTTCATTTTCTAAGTAGTCAGTGTGATCAAGTCAAAAGTATTCACTATGCGAAAAATAAGGAGCTCTGGACCCAGTTTCTTTACCATAAAGTGGGATAGAGAATATCTGCCATGGGATGGCATTAGACTGATAGTGGTCCTACTAACCCAGAAGGAAGCTCTCAGCAAGAGCTGCCCTTTATCCTGCTTACATTTCTCTTGCTCAGATTAGAGATGCTTGTAATCAAACTAGGAATCATTAGTTTAGGATGCTGACCTTCTTTGCCTTGTCGGCTGAGCTCAATGACTGATTTGTCTAGGCATAAGTAGCGATGAATGTGGGCTGCAGCCTGCTCGTAATCTTCATTCCTCAGAGCAGTCTGAACTCCATCCATGCAGAACTTCAGGTCCAAGATGTCATCAGCTCTCTGGATGGCCTGATAGAGGCGATTCTGTAAAAAGGTTGATCAGAGGTCCGTTTTAGGTTTCAACAGATGAGTTCACAAGAGCCATTACAACCAATCACAGAACTGTTAGTGACCAAAAACACTGACAAGTATCATACAGTTCTATTTATGAGGTCAGATAGTTAATTTCAATGAAACCAGGAACAGGAAGAAATACCTGACATATGTTTTTACATTTATAATCATGTCAAAATATACTTGACATTTGGGGAATAAGACATGTTAACATTTAGTTATAAAGTGTAAAAATATGTAGAAGATATATAATTTTTATACCAAGCAATCATAATTAAGAACAAACAACATATGATGGCTGTGTGGCTACAGTGTTTTGTGGTAGTTATTTTTTCTGAACAAATCAAGAAGTATTGTGCCATTTCACAGGGGCAAATCAAGGCTGGGATTGGACTGACTTGTTCAAGAGCCCAAAGGGATCTCAGAAAAAGGGCTGAGAAGTACTTCTAAAATATTAGTTATTTGGAGAAATTACCTTGGCCAGGTCAAGCTGACGAACTTTGCTTGACACATTCTCGGCTAGGTTGCAGGTAAAGGTGATCATTCCAGCCAGCTGCTTTGCATCCCCCTCAATCAACTGCAGGTTGGGACTGAAGACACACATTATCACCACACACATATCCATAGGGGCAGGGGATGAGAATAAGAGATGGAAAATTGTTTTGCAAATGGAGATTATATCCTCTACTTCTTTTGTACCTCTTCACAGCTTTTTTTAAAATAGCATGTTTTACTGTAAACTCAGATCTATATTTAATAGAAAAATGATTTCTGTTAATAAATAATTAACTACTAAACATATCTCTAGCAGGTATAGACAAAGAACTAGACAACAAAGTCTTCTAATTGTTACCAATACCAATAGCCAAATTCATATCCATTGAGCTGAATCTGATTCATAGATATCCCAGAGGATAGGATAGAACTGCCCTATGGGTTTCCAAGACTGTAACTTTTTATGAGCATAGAAAGATTTCTTTCTCCTATGAATAGTGGTTTCCAAAGGCTAACTTTACTCTTAGAAACCCCATTGCACCCACGATGGCACCAAGTAATCCAGAAATGTACTTCCAACAATCTGCAATGATAATATAATCAAAGAGCAAGTTTTACAACTAGCAAGTACTTGCACATAGTCTATAAAACATTGGTTTCCAAACTCAAGCTTTGAATCCAAATCACTTGCCTGGCTTATGAAAACAGATTCCTAGGTACCTCCCCACCCCTCACCCTGAATTTCCCATTCAGTAGGTTTGGATTCGGACCCCCTAGAATGTGCATTTCTAACAAGTTTCCAAGTGCTGCTGGTGTGGCAGGTGGAAGGCCACACTTTGAAATTCTAGGAACTATATTTTATCTTTTGGTATTTCCTTTATCCTGATGTTAATATTCCCTCTGTATCTCCACTGGCAGTTCATAAGAGACAGTTAGGAAAGACAGCAACTTAGTGCACCCTGAGGGAATTTACAATGACTCTTGCTGAGATGAGACTCACCCCATTCTGTGCAGACTAACCATCTTATTTTCAATGGTGCTTTGCTGTTCCAAGAGAGCATCCAACTCTCTCTCCACCACTTTCTAAAACACAGGAAACATGTGCCATCAGGATAGTCATAGAAGCCTGAAGAATTATTTAACTCAATGACTCCACTTAAGTGTGAATCCTATTTCAATTTGTTTCTTTCCTACACTAGGGTCATAACAACTCCATGCTTGCACTTACCATACTGAATAAGGATTACTTTATGTGTATCTTATATTACAGCTAGAGATCCACCACAAAAGGAGAAAATGAACCCTTCTTCAACAGCATTAGCAAAGTGCCTACAAGGAATACATTAAACCAGAATGAGGACACACAAGATACTTTCGAAGTGGCAAGGCAGTTCTAATCTCAAATACACCAGTTCCTGTGTTAACAATTTATGTCACCTTCCAGGATCTTCACCTGTAAAATAGGAAACATTAATACTTACCCTTACAGGATTACTCAATGAATCAGAGATGATAACACACAGGATTTACCATAGTATGTGGTGTATCAAACTCCAAACTCACTGCCACTGTGTCAATTCTGACTTTAGTGACTCCACAGGACAGGGTAGAACTGCCCCTGTGGGTTTCCAAGACTGTTAACTCTTTACAGGAGTTCTTAGAAAGCCTTGTCTTTCTCCCGAGGAACAGATGGTGGTTTCAAACTGCTGACCTTATGGTTAACAGCTCAAAGCATAACCACCGTGCCACCAGGGCTCCAGTGTATAGTAGGTGCTTAATAATAGCCCTTACTATTAGCTACCCATTTTAATTAAAATAACTCACTGGAATACAGAGAAGTTTCCCCTGGACAGTCATTACCACAAATACTGTTCTTTCTGAATGATCTCTTTAATTTTTTCCCTATAGTACTGATTGATGAAATGGTAAATTAGTACTGCAAGTTAATGTTAGAAAATTTTCAAAGATGAGGGCATGATCAAGGGTAATGTAACCAAGAGGAAGTGCTGAAACCCTGGTGGGGATTGAGCATGATAGTGGGACAGGAGGAAAGTCAAGGGAAATAGAGGAAAGAGCTGGGAGGCAAAGGCCATTTATAGAGGTCTAGATAAAGACATGTACATATGCAAATACATTTATATGAGGATGGGGAAATAGATCTATGGGCATATATTTATAGGTTTAGTATTAAGATAGCAGGAGGACATTGGGCCTCCACTCAAGTACTCCTTCAATGCAAGAATACTTTCTTCTATTAAATTGGGATTCTATGATGCTCACCTTCCCGACACAACCGCTGAAGGCAAAGTGGGTGAATAAGCATATGTGGTGAATAAAGCTGATGGTGCCCAGCTATCAAAAGATATAGCATCTGGGGCCTTCAAGGTAAACAAGTGGCCATCTAGCTCAGAAGCAACAAAGCCCACATGGAAGAAGCACACTAGTCTGTGCGATTACGGAGAGTTGAAGGGATCAGGTATAATGCATCATCAGAACAAAAAATCTTACCATAGTGAATGAAGGGGACAGTGCGGAGGGGAGACCTAAAGCCCATTTGTAGGCCACTGGAGATCCCCTTACAGAGGGGTTTCGGGGAGGGGAAGAGCCAGTCAGGGTGCGACGTAGCAACAATGAAAAATACAACTTTCCTCTAGTTCCTAAATGCTTCCCCTACTCCACTATCATGATCCGAATTCTACCTTGCAAGTCTAGCTAAGCCAGAGGATGTACACTGGTACAGATAGGAACTGGAAACACAGGGAATCCAGGGTGGACGATCCTTTCAGGACCAGTGGTGTGAGGTGATACTGAGAGGGTAGAGGGAGGATGGGTTGGTAAGGGGGAACAGATTACAAAGATCTACATGTGACTTCCTCTCTGGGGGTCTGACAACAGAAAAGTGGGTGAAGGGAGACGTCGGACAGTGCAAGATATGACAAAATAATAATTTATGAATTATCAAGGATTCATGAGCGAGGGGGAGCGGGGAGGAATGGGTAAAAAATGAGGAGCTGATGCCAGGGACTTAAGTGGAGAGCAAATGTTTTGAGAATAATGAGGGCAATGAATGTACAAACGTGCTTTACACAATTGATGTATGTATGGATTGCGATGAGTTAGTTGTATGAGCCCCGAATAAAACGATTAAAAACAAAATCTTCAGAGATGTATCAATGGCTCCGTCCCAGCACCCACAAACTGCCATTTTGCTCAACCTTACTTGAAAATCTGGCTTGGGAGCTGCTGCTAACCTCTCAGATCAGTGCTTACATCTTTCTTGATTGACAAAGAACCTCAAAATAGACATTGAAGAGTGAATTTAAAGCATGAGGCTGTAATAGGAAAGGGGAGGCAGAAAGGGGAAAGGATATTAAGAGAAAGTGCCCTAAGGGAGAATCTCGCCCACGACTTTCATGTGACACCATATTGGGGGCGTGTCAGAAGCCCACGGGATAAAGTTACTTATTCAAGATTAGACCAGGTATGCCTGGGTCTTAAAATCTCAAGCTTCTATAAAGTTGACAACTCACCTGAAAGGCAAAACCCAAACCAATCAAAACCAACGTCGAAATCATTCTGTACAAGAGGCAGCCTCAAATCGGTTCAAGAAGTCTATTTGCTATGGCTTCTGGCTTAAATGCGAGGATGGGGTAAAAACATTTCGTATTTTAAAACCGCGAAGGCAAGGCAAAAGAGCCTTTATTCTTATTCTGCGAATCAAGTGAGCTGGCATACACCCTCAGTCTAACTTTACTCCGCTGGAAACTCTTGTACCGACAGGTTCGGGAAAACCAACTCAAGTGGGGAAGGAACCCCAATGATTTAGCTATCAGGGAAAACCAACTTGGGGGGAGGCTCCGAACGAGTAAAAAGAGATGACACCACTCCCCAGATAACCAACGACAGCCCCGCTTCTCGGGTAAGTGCTTTGCGCTTTGTTCCCCAAGGAAGGACAGACGTTCCTACAGCCCGGATTTCTCAGACTGACAGCCACGACTTCCCCCCGTCCCCGAATCCTCCTGGCAAGAGGCGGGCGGGCCCCCACCTCCTCGCCGCAGAGCCGTTCGTACACAGCCTCCAGCTCCTGCAGTTCTGTCAGGGAGCGGATGAGCTCGGTCGAAATTTCCGAGCAGCGGCTTCCTCCCGCTCCCTCCCGCGGCGGAGGCGCCCCTGACAGCTTCGGAGGAGACTCGAGAGCCGCCATCTTGGTCCCCAGCCGAAGCTTCCGGTTCCGCGAGGTCCCCTCCTCGTTGGCGCGCTGGGTCTTTCGGACTGCCCCCGTATATGCCTGACGGGCTTATGTTTTATTTTTAAGCTTACTTCTTAAAAAGTGTATCGTTTGTTCATTTTCCTAGAAAAAGTGACGGCCAAAAGCTATGTTCACAGAGTTTTGAATGAGCTGTGCAAACAGGACGGATGCCTTTTATAGAATTATTATTGTTTTTGCCCGGCGCGGGATGGGGCTCTTTTCCCGCCGCGCGCCACCGGAAGGTCTCCCTGTTGAGCGGTAATGGAGAATGCCGGCGGGTTGCTGTTGGCTGCGGATTAGGCCTTGGAGAGAATCACCATCCGTCGTCTATCTACGCCATCCCTCTCGCTGCAAGGTAAAAACGCGGCCGTGAGACACCTCCGGGCACGGGGATCCGGACGGTGGCCATGTGGGAGCGGGCCGAGCATTTGGTTAGGAACTAATTTAGGCCCTAAGCAGGGGACGATGTGAGCGATGCATGGAGGGCGAACCTGGAACCCTTGCTGGCTGCTATCCAAAGGGTAGGAAAGAGACGTGGCTGCATAAAAACCTTCGAGAGGTACCTCGTTTTAGGCCCTGCTGCGTCGGAGACAAGAAGGGGGACGGTGTCGGAGAGACGTCCGCAGGGAAAGTGAAGGACGCGGTCGGGAAGGTGGTTTCAAAGCGTAACGGAAATCGGTATTGGAATGAAGACCTTGGTTTGAATTTGGGCTGTGGTGCTCATCAACCGTGGGCAGCTTGCTTCCTCCTTGTGAGCTGCTGGCCTCATGTCGGGAACGGGGGGAAGATCACCCAGAGGTGATCGGTAAATAAGATGTGCGGCGAACCATCACAGATAAAATGAACGCGGAGGAAGTCACAAAGTTTGCTAAATTTTTAGTGTTCATGGTTCCGAGTACATAGTTCCCGTAGTTACTGTTCGCTTTTTCTCCCAAATGGACCGCCCTCCATTTCCCCATTTCCCGAGGAGTGACAGCTAGGGTTGAGGCTGTAGTGGATGACTTCAGTTGTAGGACAAGAAACTAGAGTGAGTTCTTGGAATCCACTAGAGAATGAAAAGTAGCTGCTGGTGAAGGGGTGATGGCTGTTTAGGACATCGGCTCTGGCCAATGGTTCCGTCCCGTTTATTTCGCCCGTCTTTTTGGGAGCCTTCCTGACGTTGGCCTGTTGTCTGGCCAACCTCAAGGTCAGCAGCTCGAAACCCACGGGAGAAAGAGGCTCCTTACTGCCAGAGGGACGGAGTGCCACCGTGCCCGACAAGGACGCCATGGGTCTGAAACGACTCAATGGGGGTGGGGTGGGGGTTGGTCTCTTTTTCCACAGCCGACTTTTCATCGTTTTTTCCCCTGTGAGTGATACTAGAAGAACATGAAAGGTGTTCCGTTGTGTCATGTAGAAAATGGAGTCTTATGGCCCACTTGCAGTGTTTGGCTCCTTCAGAAAGGACTGGAGATACTTGCTCTGAATCCTCTTTGTTGTTTAACAACAGTTTAATGTGTCAACTGCGCACCAATGACTTTGGGTTTCTCAAGTTCTCGTTTGTAAATTTAGGGGGGCAAAAACCACTTATTACCAGCTCGAATTCACTATGAGTCAGAATCCACTCCACAGCAGTGAGAATTGGGTGTGGGTGTAGTTTGGGGTCAGGCTCTGGCAGTGGGACACTTCAGTTTATGTAGTCATCAATTTTGTCTTTCCTGTGATTGCAACTGTAAATTATAAAGGAGCAAACCCTGTTTTTATTGCTGTCTCCATGCTAGGAAAGATGATAAGAAAAACTGCCAAGTGCAGTATAGTACTCAACTTTTTAAAACACCTTTTATTGTGAATTGGGTGAAGTGTTACATTCAACAATTTAGACGCATTTTATTTCACATTTCCATTCCTCCATTTCTGACCTTTGTGAACTTTGGCCTTGGGTAAACACTGCCTGCCCTTTTGATCAAAAATGGTTGATTATTCTAAGGTGGAAGTACCTCACTAGTGTTATTCCCCTTATAGACCTATCAATTTGTTTGAAAATTGAGACAAGTAACCTAATTTTTGATTAAAGAAGAGAAAAATGCAGTACAAATAAATGTTTTTGTTTGCAGTATAAATGGATGCTTGCTACATCTGGAAGGTTGCTATATATAGCATGCTAAAATTGATTACCCCAGAGAGCAAAACTTGGTTGGAGAAAGTGATGGATTTTTGCATTCTGAGCTATGTGAATTATAGATTCAAATAGAATTATAGATTTAATATCTAACCACCAAAGGCAAATAGGTAGCACAGATCCCAGCTCCTTTATATTCCCTTTACTTGTTAAAGGACCTGGTCAAGTGATTTGATTTCCGAGTGTCAATTTCCTTATCTATAAAAATACACAATAATAATAGGACAATAATATTTAACAACAATAAGGGGTGGGGGATGGAGGGGATAAAGTGGAGCTGATATTAAAGAGTTCAAGAAGAAAAAATGTTTTGAAACTGATTGTAGTAGCAATTGTACAGTTATGCTCCACTCATTTGAATTATGGAATGAGACATCTGTAAGAGCTCCCAATAAAATGATTAATTAAAAAAATTAAAATAAGTATCTTAGCGTTATTGTGAATGTAAAGACCAGCTTATAGCTTAGTAGCTGTGTGTTGTTCCTCAGTAGGCCTTACTAGTGTGTGTTAAAATACCACTTTTTCTGCTTTCATATTCCCCTAGCTTGCTTTGAATCAGAGTTGTTTGTAGAACCAAGGCCTGAGTTGTGGACTAAGGTGGCTCACTTTTGCTGCCAACGCCACCATGTTCCTGTACAACTTGACCTTGCAGCGAGCCACTGGCATCAGTTTTGCCATTCATGGCAACTTTTCTGGTAAGTTCTAAAGTTACTTTCTCTATGAATTGAAGCAGTGTTTTGTTTATCTCTTATATTAGAAATACTTTTTTCCCCCTATTATAGACCGACTAAAAACAATAGTTGGTGAATGTGAGTGAAACAACAGCTTGTCTCAGCTATCAGATTTGTTGTGAAATCGAGGTGTACTATCTGCTACCTTGTAGCAGGCACATTTCCTAGTTCATTGGTATTCCATATGAAATTTCTTAAGTCCCAGGGTTAGGCCAGGTTGTGTGCATGTTGCTGTGAGACATAGGAGATAATATAATGCAAGACATGGTCCTTGTTCTTGAATATGACATCAGGCTGGATAAAGGGTTTAAAGGTGTTTCTCCTGCTATCAAAGGAGGAGAAGGGTTTTTAAGAAGGGGAGTGAGTTTGGGCTTGGTGCTGGAAGGGAGAATAGGACTTATTTGGAGCGAGAATGGAAAATGATGTTTAGGTAAGGGATCGCACTTGGATGGTGGCAGATCATTTGCTAATGTTCACCTCCTTTGTGCCATGCATCATGAGCTGGAATGGTGTGGTGGGGGGTGTTTGGAAAGATGAATTAAGGTCAGGTGGTAGGGAGTTTTAATTAACAGCTTAAGGCAGTGGTTCTCAAGCTACCTTTTAATACAGTTCCTCATGTTGTGGTGAACCCCCCCCCAACCATAAAATGATTTTCGTTGCTATTTCATAACTGTAATTTTGCTACTGTAATGAATCGGGCCACCTTTGTGAAAGGGTCGTTCAACTCCCCTCCCCAAAGGGATCGCGACCCATAGGTTGAGAACCACTGGCTTAAGGAAAGAAGCATTAGACAAGTGAGAATTAGAGAAAACGGTTTACTAAAGTGCATAAAAGCCCTGTTGGTACAGTGCATTAAACATGGGGATGCTAACTGAAAGGTCAGTGGTCTAAACCCCTCCAGTGGGGAAAGAAGGCAGTCCTCTTCCATAAAGATTTGAAACTAGGCAGCGCTAGAGAACATTTCTTCCCTATCCTATCTATAGGACCACTGTGAGGCTAAATTGTTTCCATTGGCGATGGCTAATATATATGACTTTACCATTTGCAGGTTTAGTTCCATATAACACCAAAGGGGCAAAAATTTGGAGAGTATATGAAATTTGCCAAGGCTCAAACCTGAATGCCTACCTATTGTGTGATAACTGCACAGGAGCCTTGCCCTCTGAGCACGCTCATTCTTTGTTTTCTTTGAACATCATGACTATTATTAAGCGTCTGCGAGCTCACTCTGATTTAGTTATTCCTCCCTACATTTTATGAAGGAAATTGTATCCAGTTTTGGTGTACATGAATTTGACTATATAACAATTGATTCTGTGCTGCATTTTGAATAGGGATTCTTGGGAGAGAGTTTTCTGGTTTAAAACATCTTTATTTTACATATTTTCATATATGTGTAAAACATTTATTTGACCCATGAGCCATTGAGAGAGCAGTGTCATTTGTAATATGCTTTATAGTTTCCATGGCTCTTGATGGTACTTGGTATTATCTGAATCCTAGAAGACTTTTGGAAAGTAAGGTGGCAGGCTAAGTGGTGGTGTTTTATAAATGAGATAGATTGGGACGGGTCAAACCAAAACTCCATACCATTTGAGTCGATTCCAACTCAGTGCCCCTTCATTGTCCAGAGGAGAACTGCTCCTTTGGGTTTCTCTGACTGGATCTTTATGGAGCAGATAGCCTCATAAGATAGCCTTATCTCTCTGAGAGCCACTGGTGGGTTTGAACTGTTAGCCACAGTGCTACTAGGGCTCCTCTGGGATGGGCTGGTGCAGGAAAGTCAGATACGCTGCAGGTGTGGTGACATTGCATGATAGAGTTCTGGACTCAGTGGGAAT